TAATGTGTTTTTCTATCACCGTTAGCATCGAGTCTATCTCACTAACGTGTTTTTTCTTCTTCCACAGTTAGCATCGAGTTTATATCACTAACGTGTTTTTCTATCACCGTTAACATCGAGTTTATCTCGCTAACGTGTCTTTCTACTTCCGTCAGGTTAGGGTTTTATCTCACTGGCCTCTATATGTTTGTTTATTTCAGCTCACAGCAGAATAACTACAGGTAAGTATTTGGTGTCTACGTCTTTGTCTCGAGTCTCTTCGAAAGTCAGACAAAGAGGGGCAAGCTGTAGATACCAAAATTTCATTTATTTTATTCAATTTTAGCTTTATTTTTGTTTTATTTTTATTTTAATTGATTAAATGATTAGTTAATGTTCATTTTGTTTATTTTTATAAATAAGGTTCATTATTTTAAGCTATTTTTGCATTAAAAGGGAAAATTTTCACAAAAGTTCAAAATTTGTCTTTAATCTTTTTAGATTCAATTTCTTTTTTAAGATAAATGAAAATTTTGCAATAAGAATTAAAATTTTTATTTATTTTTTTATTTTGTTTACCTAAACTATTTTTGGAAAATATATAATAAATAAATGAAAAAAGAAGACAAGTGTACTAGGGGAATAGTAGCCAAGTGGGGCACATGCAATAGGGACAAATGTCCTTTTATTTCTTTGACAACACAACTGTGACGCCCCTACTTCTCCCTAAGGCGAACCAAAGGGTATCCGCGGGACGCCTGCCCAACTCTCGCCAGGATTCAAGACAAATCGATTCAAGCTTAACGATGCATAACAATTAATATAATCCTAATAAAGAAAAGTCGCGTCCATAATCAAATATCCAAGTCTTACACCACGAGTTCAAGATACATCAGCTATCCAATTCTTACATTACGTTCCCAAAATATACATCAATTCCCAAAAAAACACAACAGCCACAATGTCTAGTCAATTACGCTTAAAACCCTAATACAAAAGTACATCCAAAAGGTTTCTCCAAGTTTCGTTCCATGTCCATACCTGTTAAGGAAAACAAATCTATGGGGTGAGCAATCGCTCGTAAGGCCAAGAACACTCATGCAAGCACGTTATCCAAGTAACAATCCCAATTAACAAGTAAAACAATAAATTTCAAGTAAATGACAATTCGAGTGAGAATAGTAAACGGAAACAATTCAAGGATATAGGAGCTCTCAGGAGCTATTTTCCACTTGCACGATCAAAAACCTCCACGAATTGACACTTCATCAATCGGGTAGGCTATAGTCCATAAAACTTCACTTATCATGTCCCCGTTCACCGTTACATACCCGTGTACCGGGCCCGCCTGTCGCTTGTTTGAGGTGATACTACTCGAGTATGCCAAGCAAGACCTTTCAATATGTCAAGCTTATTTTTTTTCTCATGGTTCACCGAGGAGGCCGACCAAGCCCATGCTGGCTTGAGTCCAAGGTTAGCTAGTGAGAATTGGGCATCCCCTACTTAAAATTTATAAGTCGAGGAGATTCACTCCAATTGACTTATACAGCTATAGCATAAATAGTCACTTAAACACTTCACTTAATTCACTTAACAAGTCACTTCAAGCAATTCAAGTATTTCATGTCAAGTAATTCAAGTACACTTCACTTAAATGAGAACGAGTGCGATAAAGTACACACTTGACTCAACATTTTCAAAATATTCGATTATCAAAAACAATTAACACGTAACACGTTTTTCACACACTTGACACTTACCAAATAATTCAAGAAGTAAAGCACACTTGAAGGTTCAGGCGTCTACCGTGGGATCCTCTTGAAGGTCCTCTTGAGTGCCTGAGCAATTAATAATGAACTACCACTTAGAAACTCCAATTATCATGGAAGATTGCACACTTGTACAATTTAGAAAAATATCATGAAAATGAGCCTTAATTACTCGTAAATCGAGACTCAAAAGGGGGTTTAATAATACAAGGAAAAATCTGATTTTCATCTTGAAATCAAGTGCCAAACGGTCAAGCAATCTCGAAGGAAAAAGGTGAGTTCTAAATACTCAATTTCCTTTAAGTTCGAAAATTTCAGATTTGAAAAGCAATATTTGGAAAATCGTATCTCACTCTCTTTAGGTCCAAAATTGGAAAAATTAGTACCGTTGGAAACTACTTCCAGAGTACTAAAAGTTACTAGAAGGCACTTTTCCATGATTCCAAATGGAAGACATTCAAATTTCGGCTTCAAGTTGCTGTTTTGGAATACCAAGACAGTTTTGGGGTTGGTTTTTGGCAAATTTTGGAAATTCGGTAAAATTCACAGAATGTGAACTAGCCTCTGAAATTTGGAACTCAATTAGATTTACAATCAAAGTTTAAAACACAATAAACGGAACAAGAATCAGAGTTTTGAGCGCCAAGATATAGCAGCTCAAAGTTGCTGAAAATTTCTCACTGAACAAGGGTTTTCCAGATTTGAAACATGAACTTTGAGACTTTGGTTGGGCATCGAAATAGACTTTGAATGGCACCAAATTTGGTATTATTACCCTAACATATAGGGCTATTCTTCTGTCAAATTTCATGAAAAAATTCATACGAAAGGTCAGTTAACAAAGCCACTAAAGTTCCAAGAATTTCCAAGGCAAATCTGCCTTGTATTTCAATTTTCCTTTTTCTAACTTTTGGGTCAATGAAATCATCTCAAACATCGTTCAATTATGAAGAAAAGGTCTAATAAACATCCAAGATACTTTTGGTAGGTGGTTAACACCAAGAATTTCAAAATAACAAGTCCCAATTCAAATTAAGGCATTCAACTAGCCAAAAAGAGGGTTTTCCATCATTGAGACAGTTTCGTAATTCGGCCACAACTCACTCAATTCAACTTGGAATTGAGCGTGGTTGGTGACGTTGGATGGTTGGTGACGTTTGAAACTACATTCATGAGGATACAATTTCTCAGAGGAAATCATTATGAAATTCTATCCATAACTAGCTCATATTCGAGCAACAAGTAGCAGCACATAACAGGTTCTCTAACACAGCCGAGAAATAGGGCAGGTGAATTTTAAAGGCTGGTACGGTTCCCTCAAGTGGAATCAGGGGATGCATTTTATACCATTGGAAAACTAGAAGTGTCTAATTTCTAATGCCACAAACGGCACTCGATTTCGACGTTGGAGCAAAGAGTTATGGTCAATTCAAAATCGCTGCCAGAACAACTCTGGACGCGTTTTTCAGTTGCAAAGAAATTTCAAATTTTCAACTTTTGGCCAACCAAATCAAGTGATTTTTGGTGGACACTTTCCACACAACCTATACAACATATATTCATCAAAATCAAGTCAATTGGACCACAAAAAGTTTCACCAACAGGTGTGGCAAAGCAGGGGCAGAACCGGCACTTTTCTTGCTTTTGTTTCCTTTGAGTTTTCTTTCCACTTTTCAACTTATAATCACTAGTTTAACCACTAATTCAACATAAACAACACCCAATATCATCACATCAGTTCATCAAGTCCATTGTGGGATTTCATAGAGCCCACTCACAAGATTTACAACAATCCAAGACTACCCACATGAAGCTACAAGCTTCTAAGTGCAATATAATTTACAAAAACTAAAATTCAAAGGTTTGATCGTCATTAGCTCCTAGATGTTGCTAGATCAGAAATTTTCGGTCCTTTGAAGCTCAAGAAAATCGTGAGGTTGAAGCTCCTTTCCTAGCTTAAGTTGATCTCCAAGTTATTTGCAAGGTGTAGTGTGAATTTGAGGTGATGTGGTGCAAGAAAGTGAGGTGAAATGAAGAAAATTTTTGGTCTTCTTCTCCAAGGTGATGCACAGCTGTTTGAGTGAGAAAGAGAGAGTTGTTGCAGCTGCAAAAGCTTCTTGAGGAAGCTTAAGAATGTGTGGCCAACAATACTCCAAAAGTCAACTAGGAATAGTGCGCATATGCGCGCTTTTCGTTCTCGATTCCTCTCAAGTTTGTTTCACTTGTGCACTAAACCTCTAATGCACTTCCATTGATACTATTATTATTCACTTTTAATAGTCTATAAATAAAGGTCTAAAGTCCCTCGATTAATCGCGCGCACAAAAACGCGTACTTCCGATTTGTGCGCGATAGAGCGAAATTTCTAAGGAATTCTTGTAACGATAGTATTACTAACTAATACTTAGTACTTAAACATAAAAAATACCTATTTTAAGACTAATGTATGAGTCTTCAATCTCCAAACTCATTGTACCCTCAAATCGATTATTGCCTCCAAACGCGTATCCACTATTCTCACTAGACGAGCTTCTAAAAATTAAATTTTGTAACAAGTCATTTTAAAAATATATGTAAGTCATAGTTCCATGTAATTGGGTCTAAAAATGTTGAAATATAATATTTGGAGCAAACGGGCAATTAAATATTTAAATAAACTAGTAATGGAAATTTAAAATAAGTAAATTTGCGAGTTCTCATACGAATCTAGTATTAATTTCTCAAGTCTCCAATTTGTCGTGCTGTACGACTTTCGAGAAATTATCGACGTTTACGTAATAAAAACTTTATTTAACTTAATCACATCTAATCTCTCAATTAACTCTTCTTAGTCCCCTATTGATCATCCTTAATTCTCCAAAATCATTGTACTCTTAGATCGACTATCGACTATCATCTCGAAGGTGTGTATTTGTTATTCCTTAATAAACAAGCCTTCGAAAAATTTAAATTTGCTAGCGAGACGTTTTAAAAGTATAAATAAGACATGGTTCCATAAAAATGAATTTAAGAGGGTTGAAATAAATTGTTCGGAGAAAACAGGTGAATAAACATTTAGATAAGCCAGTAAAATGAGATAAAATGAGAAAATTTTCGGATCCTCACAGCAACACCTAGAAGGTGGGGTGTTAAGACACTTGGGAAGTTTAGAAAACTTAGAAAAAAAACAAAACAAAAAATAAAAAAATAAAAGAAGGCTTGGCGGCTGGTGGGAAAAAAAAAAGCTATGGGGCTCGGTTGAGAGGAGAAAGAATGAAGGAGAGGCTACGAGCCGAGGGTGAGAAAAAAAGAGCTGGCGAAAAAAGGGAATGGAAACAAAGTAGGAACAAGCTACGGGACAAGGGATTTGCCGAAGAGCAAGAGGAAAAACTAGGAAAAAAGAGAGAGCCGAGAGTGAGAGAGAGCTACGGGCTACGGGCTTTGAGGGAGAAAAAGTTTCGGGGGGCTGGCAGGGAAAGAACAGAAAGAAAGAAAGAAGCAAGAGGGGCGGCTGAGAGAAGAAAACAAGAGAGGAAAAGAGAGATTCTGGTGAGGAAGAAAGGAGAGGCTTCGGGCAAGCTGAAAAAGAAAGAAAACGAGGGAAGTGCGGCTTCGGCTGAGAAGAAAACTGGGAAAAGAGGGAGCTTGGGACTGAGGAAAACCAAGCAAGAAAAGCCACCGTTAGAGGAAGGAACCGAGAGATCCGAGAAAGAACAAGGGAAAGAGGAGAAGGAAGATCCAAGGCTAAAAATCCAGGCTCAGGTTTCTTCATCAGAGTCTGCGGTTGATCTCTTCATCAAACCCAGACTGAAGGTTCAAGTCCAAAGACGGTGAAACAGGTAGCCTTCAACCCTTTTTCTTGTCCATTTCCATTCCATATGAAATCTGGTCTGCGTAACCAGAGATTCTGGGTTCTTGCTCACGCTTGGATGTTGAATTACTGTGTCTTGATTGCTAGAGTAAAGTTTGGTGCTTGTTTGAATCTTTTTCATATGAAAACTACGAAACTCAGAACCTATGAATGTAGCCGAAAGATGAGAGACAGTCTGCTGTTTTCTTGTGTTTACTTGCATTTTACAGGCCAAAGTTGTTTCCTTTTTTTGCTGTTTACCTGTATTCTAGGTATAGCCTGCCTGATGGTCTTGCTTTTCTCACCATTTGGTTTCTAAAATCTGTATTTACCCAAGAGCCCTGTCCTTTGTTGCGTTTCATCCGACGCTCTTTGTTTCATGACTGGGTTTTCTTATTTGAGGAAGATTGAGTTCTTCTGTTTTGACTGAGAAATTGGTGGGTTTGGCCTGGTTTTTGGGGATGGAAGTTTGGGGTTTTCTATAAGTTTTAGCTGATGGATTCGTGAGAGTTTATGGCTGTGTCTCTGGTTGTCTTTGTGCGCAATCTGGGTTGGAGAATTCTGGGGAATGCATCATTTATGGTTGGGTTTAGATGATAAGATGCATAAGATGTTGTTTTGGTTTGAAAGATTGTTGTTTGTTTGGGTTTTGATACCCGCATCTGACCTGAAATGTTTAATTGCAAAGTTGCAGACTATTAAGATGTTGTTTTGGTTTGAAAGATTGTTGTTTGTTTGGGGTTTTGATACCCGCATCTGACCTGAAATGTTTAATTGCAAAGTTGTAGACTGTTGAATAAGAAAGCTTTCGAACCATTTTGCATGAAAGTTTTCCAGAATTTGCATAATCTCATTCTAAGTTTTTGGCTTGTTTGGATGTTGAGTTTTGTGATTTTTTTTGTTTAAGAATGAGGCTTTGATGTTTGGTTGAGATTAGTTGTGTTGGGACGGAAAAGAGATTGCATTCGAGTAACCCAGAAAGAAGTTGCCGAAAGAAAGCTTTCGGTTAAAGAAGAAAACTTCGCAGGTTGCATGAAAAGTTAAAAAAGAATTGTATTTTGCCCCCCTTTTTTGTTAGTAATGCTATTATAGCCCGAAAAATTGGAAAATCGATCAATTGTGTCCCTTTAACATGTTATTGTTTCTTTGACGTGATTTAATGTGATTTTGGATAGAATTCTAGTGAATTTTAGGATGAAATTTGAGGATTAATCATTTTGAGAGATTTTTTATTTTGATTTGGATTTTTAGTGAAATTTTGGGTATTTTTGTTGTTTAATTGTAAAAAATGGTTTTTCCTTTATTTTTTGTGAGTTTTAGTTTTGTTTCGATGGGTTTCATCTTAAGCCAATAATTTTAATTTATTTTAATTTAGACCCCCAATATCTGTAATAATAATAACTTAACCCTTCAAACTTCTTTAGTTATTTCAATGAGTCCTTGTTTGTTTAATTTATTAAAAATAGGTTTATTTTTATTTGAATGATTTGATTGATCCAATTTCGTGGTTATTTTTATTTCATGTAATTATTTGTAATTAAAGTGATACCTTGACTTTTTTATTTGTTTTGGAGGGTAAATAAGAAAATTGCCATTTCCTTAGGTCACCAATTCAAGGGAGGTACACTCTACTCCTTTTATTTTGATTTTACCTGATACTGTGTGCTTCTATGTGACTTTATGTGTGTAATTGTATGCTTTGTTGAATGTTTTATTTCATTTATTCACTTATTCGCTTTATTCATTTTAATTTTGTATATTTATTTTAACTTAATTTTTAATTATTTGAGAGGCAATTAAATGTCAAGTTGTAATAGTTAGGTTATTATTTTATTTTATTTCATTCCTTCCCCCTTTTTAGATTGTAGTTAGGGCCCCAAGTGTAATAGTTAGGACTTTATTCGCTTTATTTGCTTGGTATGTTTTGCATGCTTACGTGTTATATGTTACTCGCTTTCTTAGGGTCTTGCATCTAGATATCATGCTTATGTATTATGTGTTTATGTGATCTTATGTGTTTACTTGCTTTATTATATTTTATGTGACTAATTTAGTTATAATCAATGTGTGACGTCACCACATTAGTCCAACGCTAATTGTGCCCCCTTTCTCGACTCCACACTAGCCCAACGCTAGTTGTGGTCTCTTTTTCCGATTCCACACTAGTCCAACGTTGGTGAGAAATTAGAGATATGGGCTAGTCCAACGCTAGACTCTTAGGGACCATCAATGCATTAGATCATATTTGTGTGTGGCAATCACTACATTTTCATCCATATTTTCTATTTTTTAGGGTTTTTTTTTTCATTTTTACATGACATTTCTCTTGTATACATATCCCTTATCCCATATTTCCCTCTATATAACCCCATGTGTGAGACATGACATTAGACTTACATTTCATATAAGAAAATTAGAGACAGGTTAGTGCATTTGCTTGATTAGATTAGGAAATACCCCTCGAATATAGGATATGGATGAGTTTGGCTTTCTAATCTTAGCACACTCGTATTCCTTCTATAAAAAGGGAAAATCTGGTCACGAGTATTAGCTCCCCGCACCCGTTATAATGCACTCATCTAGGTCATGTATATTTGTATAATTATTATTTTCTTTTCTTTTCTTAGAGTCTCATATTTTTGCACATTCGTGACCTCTTCAAATAATTACTTGTGGGCATTGTAATTAATGCAATTTGCACCAATTAAAATTCGAAGAGACATGTTGACCCCGATACATTAGGTCTAGGGTTTGCATTCGTATAGTACATCCAAATGTGATAAATTTTTAGGTTTAAAATAAGAAAATCGTTGACTAAATCACGCAACTAGCTTTGGCTAGGTTAAAAGGGTGCCTTGGATTTTTTATCCTTGCCTTCCTTTTCTTCAAATGTGATTCCCGAACACTTTTTCTGATTTTCGAAGGTTTGGAGTAGTTTAAAAAGGGTTTTCTTTACTTTTTTTTATTTAAAATTCATTTTGGGTGACTTGGTACACCTTAACTCAATTCCAAGTGATGGCTCCTATTTTTATTAAAAACCCTTTTTAAACTATATTTTGGGCCAAAAATCGTCACACTTCTAAGTCCCATTTAGGCCCATTTTCCTTATTTATTGTCTTTCTAAAAATCAAAAACACATTTCAATCAAAAATTAAACCAAAATCCATTTTTTCTAAACTCGTTATTTTTCTTTTAAAAAAATGGGACGCGACATTACCCGTTGTTTTTTTAGTGCTCATGCTTATCAAAAATTGATCTCAGTAGTAGATATCACCAAATCTAAATATGACCAAATAATAAATTGAAAACTAGGATTAAGATCAAGAAGGTCTTGTACAAGTGGTTAGTCATGCCATTTGAGTCGCCTAATGCCCTTAGTACCTTCATATGTTTGATGAATGAGGTCTTACTGCCATAGTTGTTGTGTAGTTGTCTATTTTGATGATATTATAACTTACAGTACTAATAACTATGAGTATCTTGAATATTTATGCCATGTGCTATTGGTTTTGTAGGCGAACAAGTTGTACATCAACTTAATGAAATATAATTTCATGGCAAATAGCTTGATATTCTTAGGCTTGGTTGTTAGTGTAGATGGCATTTATGTCGATGAGGAGAAGTTGAAGGCTATATGTGATTGGCCTATACCACATAGTAATCACAAATGTTAGGAGTTCCTATGGTTTGATGTCTTCTATTTGAATTTTATTCTGAGTTTTAGTCTATTGTGGCTCCATTGACATATTGCATAAAGAGGTCTTGTGTGACAGCCCCACCTTCCCCTAAGGCGTACCAAAGGGGTTAGCGGACTGCCTGCCCAACTCTCGTCAGGACTAACGAGGCAGTTAAATACAATATAAAACGTTCCGGAAAATAAAAGCGCGCTCAAATGATGCAGAAATCACAAAATAATAAAAAAAATGAAAATCGGAGCCGAACAGGAACAGTGACGGCCACGTCACAATCTGGCCGAAATTTGTCCGAAATCCAACCACACATCAACGAACCATATAAACCATGAAACCAAACATTTGCAAGCCAAAATAACATACAAAAGTGACCAAACACGTTTATACAAGTGTGGTTCCAAATTTACAATTCAAAAGAGAAGGTTGGATCAAAATACACCTAGGGATTCATCCATTGAGGAGCTATACAAAAGAATATTTAAACTAGCTCAACTCGCCAACAAAATATCATAGCCTTCCAAAAGGTGTTCAAATCCCTGTAAGGAAAACAAAAGTAATAGGGTGAGCTTTCGCCCAATGAGGTACCATCACCCAAACAACGATATTCATATAAGCATAGAGCCCATCGATCCAAGTTCATTCAATAAAGAAGTTAACTAATACCACAGATCAATAAAATTGGTAAAAGGATACAAACAACTCTCAGGAGCCCTTTTCCCCGCTGGTTGTTCTTGATCACGCCTCATTGACTCTCCGTCAATGTACAAAGAGTAACCAACCGTAGACCCCACTTTCTCCAATTCCTTCCACCTCACATACCCCTACCGGGCCCGAACTCCAAACAGTTCTGAAATGGTAATACTCAAGTAAACCGGAATCAAGAGTCTCATACTCAAAGATTCCACATAAACAGTCCCCATGGCTTGTCAATTTTCTCGACCAAGCTCTGACCGGCTCGATTCAATTGACCACCAATGAGGTTGAGCTTAGTGATAACAGTAATGGTCGTTGGATACTCGTCCAAATGACACTAGTTCAAGTATGTTCAAGTAGAATTCAATTGATGCAATAAACAGTCACATAAGCCATAGAGCGCGAGAGTGGTAAAGTACACCCTCGTCTCAAACTATTTCAACCGTATACATAAGCATTCAAGTCATAAATTTCAAGTATAAGAAAGCCATGAAGTAACAGTCATGTGAGTAGTACACTCACCAAGCAAACACAGAGTGAAATCACAAATTCCCGTCCAACGAACGCCTTGCCTCACCAACACGCTCCTAAAACATTCA